ATCAACTGCAACCCCCTGTCCAGTAAGAGTGCCTCGAGCCAATAAGAGCACTTTATTTAGATATGGTGAAGACAGTTGGCAGGGCTACAGCTGGACATAAATCAATCAAATCTCAATCAGTTCCTGCTTAATTAGCCAAAATGCAATCTGTTGGTGGCCCTACCAACACCACCCAGCTCAACAAAAGGCAATGGAAAAACTGGAGGGAAATTTGGCCAGACAGCTGCAGTCACTCTTTAGGTATTCTGACAGCTGTGGGCACTAGGTTGGCAGAATACAATACCCAGCAGGAAAGATTCTTGCATCTACTCTCTTTATTGTGAATGGGGGAAAAATTTTTTTTCTTGTTCAGCCCCAAGGGTGTGAGCGAGTTAAATATTACAGCACATGGCCAGCTTTAGTCCTGAAGTCAGTCCCCTAGTAACAACGTGAAACAGAGAGGCGCACAGAACAGGATTTCTAGCCGAGAAAGGTAAAGCGGACATCGTGTAGGACTTTTAAACAATTCAGAGGGTAACAATTTCACATTAATCCAAGAGATGCAAAACCAGTTATGTTTTGTGTATTATACATACTCCAGAGAACACGTAATGTAAACCTAATATGAACACAACCACCTAAGAGGAGGCACCAGTAGTTGCATGTACATACATCTGGTTGGCAGGAAGATGTTTTCTGTGCAATTCACAAAGAAACATGATTCTGTCTTAGTGGGCTACTCTAGTGGCTGAGTCACAGCTTATTTACATAGAGGGGGATTTATTAAAACTGGAGCAGCTGTGCATGGCAACCAATGTTCCTTTCATACGATTTTGTTTGTGCCAATTGGGAATATCATATATTTAAATGGCATTAGATCAATGTGGAGGACTGGTGTGCGGAATATTTAGTTAGCGGCTTACACTCAGAAGTACACGTTTCAGGGATTTATTAAAGGAGAACTATGGGGGTTGTCTTTTCCCCATAGTTCTCCTTAGGGTAACGGGAGGACACAAACTAGCGTCCTCCCGTCACCATAAGCTCAGTATACCGCGAGCTGCAGCTCGCGGTATACTGAGACACCGCAGTATACCGCAAGCAGCTGCTCGCGGTATACTGAGACGCTGCAGCTGAAGCGGTTCCCGACAATTGTGCCGGGATCCGCTCAGCTGCGTGAATGACAGCTGGCTCTGCCTATCTAAAAGGCAAAGCCAGCTGTACCCGCCCCCTCCCCCGTCCGTTCCGTCAGCCAGCGCTGGCAGATCGGAGGGGGGAATCCAGCCCAGGATCGAGAGGTGAGCGAACGCCGGTATGTGTTCGCTCACCTCCCGATCTACTGAGCCGACCTGTGACAGTCTCATTGTCACAAGTCGGCTAGAACTATGAGGTGATTGAAAATCACTCACCTCATAGTTCTCCTTTAACATAGCAATTTCTACTCTTTCTTTAAAATGAAATGTGCGCTTTCATACAATATCAGTACAGAAAACAAAACATAATATATTAATTTGTTAATACAATATTTTCAGAGTATGTACAAAATATTTTATAGCAGCATTATGTTGTTGAGTGCAGAAGTACAGGGACAGAGGGTAGCTGACAATGCTCATCATTAGAAGGAAACCAAAGCAATTCAGAGTGGTCAGCTAAGGGTTTGTGTCACTGCACTTTGCTTCACTTCAAATGGGTTTTGCAATCCAATACAAGTTCATGGAAAACCCACTTGAAGCGGGTCACATGCAGCAGTGAATTCTGAATTATTTCAGAAGCGTCTCAAACTGATGTCATCAACACACCCAAACCCCATTCACACAGGCCCTAAAGCTGGCCATACACTAGTAGACTTCTAAACAAACCTTCGTATGAAAGATGTTTCTTTACCACCTAATATTGCCATCAGACACTTGACGAATTTCCATCGAAATTTCATTTGATTTTAGCATTCCATTTTGGAATGAATGGAGTTTCCTGAGCGCAAGCCACATTCACTGTTACAATTCCTGCTCGTTTGGAGTTTTTTGTCACTGTGGTTGAAAACGATCAACGATTTGACTCCATCAACTAATAGAAAAAGTTGAAAAAAAATTATTCTGAAAATCTAAGTAGTGTATGGCCAGCTTACGGGTGTTTGTAGGTGACATGAAAAGTGAGGCAGTCACTGCACGTGTGCTAAAAGTCATGTCTATGGTCAACTTAAATGGCATTTTATGTAATACAGCACTCATGGAAATTCATTCTTTTCCTACTTACACAGAAAAGTGTAAAGCATTTCTCAAAGTGGACAAAGCCATCCTCTTAGTAATAAACTCCACACATGGTACTGCATCACATTTATAGTTCCTCCCTCCAGTAGATTTCGTTACAGGAACCAGTAGGAGGCCACAACCCTGCTACGTGAATACCAAGACAAGAGCAATTAGCCTTAGTGAGACTCCTTTTTCAGTTTGTTTGAGCAGACTAAACGACTTCTATTTAGAGTTAGAGAGTAACAGTAAAGCACAGTTGTTAATAAAACAATATGGCTACCCCCATGTGCATGTACAAACTAAAAAATAGAAGGTTTTGTTTTTTTTAAACATTGCACATTGTTAAAGTCGCAAATCACAATATATCTAAAAAGATAACAACAAAAACCTATTAGATTCCCTTTAAATAAGCTAGCAACATAAGAATTTACAAGTGACTTGTATGCCCAACCTGTGCCACCTAATGTAACACATGTAAAAGAAATATATGGCAGGGGTGAAGGATGTGTATAGATTGCTGTGGGCTACACACTCATCAGAAGATCATTTATTAAAAGGAGAACTAAGTGATTTCTGCTCCTACTCATAGTTAGAGCCGACCTGTGAAAGAAGCTGTCATAAGTCAGCTCTTCGATCGGGAAGTGAGCAGAAACATGCAGCCGATCCGCTCACTTCCCGATCGTCTCCCTGCAGTGAGCGGTGACTGTCAGTCACCGCTCCCTGCAGGGATTCCCCCCTCTCCTCCGATCCGCCAGCGCTGAGTGGAGGAACGAACGGGGAGGGGGCGGTCACAGCTGGCTCTGCCTCTAGATAGGCTGAGCCAGATGTCACTCACACAGCTGGGTGAATCTATCCAATACATAAATGGTCTAGCTTGCGAAATACTGAGCTTTGGGTCACGGGAGGAGGTTAGTATATGTCCTCCTGTGACCCTAAAGAGAACTATGGGGGGAAAACACTTACCCCATAGTTCTTGTTTAATCATCGTTATGTCTTAACTATAGTCATACGGTTTCTTTTAAAACAAGAAATGGCAGTATGTTTAGAACTCACATACTTGTGCTTTACACATATCTTTCCACTGTGGAGGGCACACAGTGCATATAAAGTTTGCTGCAAAAACATGAGGCTCAATTCACCAAGCTATAAAAACACATTTATGTAAGGAATTCGAATTCTTAGTGAATTGAGCCTCTAAATTACAAAGGCCGTCCATTCTGCAGCAAAATTAAATGGTAAACCAAATTGAAGAGCACTGCCCACCTCCCCTCGTGTAGAGAAAAGAAAGCTCTAGAAGGCTACATGTAGATAGTAAGCCTCCTCATTGCACTTTTATTAAACAGGAAAAAGAGATGTACAAGGACTAGGAAAGCAGAACTGCAGGATATATGTTAGCACTGTCATGCGTAATGCATGTGTAGCGATCACACTAGCAAGAAAAATAAATTGCTCACGTGTGCCAAGCCTGAAGTCACTGAAATCAGCTGGCAAAGCAACATGCACCATTCTGTCCCCATTTCCATGTCAGATAAATCCAGGCTCAGTGGGGACAGAAAACACATTACCCAAAGCAGTTCCTGGTGCTGCCTACTAATTCCTGCAGCTCTCCCCCGCTTATTTCTGAGAAAGAAAAAAAACAAACAAGAACAGAGTCAAGTCGTTTATGTGACCGGACACACACGAAGAGTCAGCCAAGCTACCAGGGTGCAGCTTATGCACTAAGATTGGGGAAATTTCACCCACCCATTGCTTTATATGGCAGAGGTAGCCCGATTTATCATTCAGATTTTACCCCTAACATTACATCAAATGTGGACTGTTCATCATGTACAGTTCTAGCATTGGGTCTGTATATACATAAATGGTATTTGTTTTTTCTGCGGTATGGGCCGTTCACACCATAGCGCTGTACATACACTGCTGCGGGGAGCGGTGTTGGAGTGCCATCCAAATGAATGGCAATGCACCTAGCACAAACTAGGCGCGCTGTGAGACAGCATGCACTAAGCGCATGGTATTGTGTGTTTAAAGCAACGCTATGGTGTGAATGTGCCCTACGGAACTCTTATGATTTATGACTTTAATACAGCCAGGCTTCATATACAGTAACACATTTGAACGTCTTTTACTGTTTTTTTACACTTGTAGGTGCTGCAGTAAGGGTCAAAATACCCTACAAAAGGAGCGTCCTGGTTCTCAACAGGCTGATTCTTCAGATTGCTGCAGCACAGGGTAGTTTAACCCTTGCTGCAGCACCTACAAGTGTTAAAAAACAAACAAAAAAAAACGGTAAAAGTTCAGATGTGTTACTGTATCTGGAGCCTGGCCGCATTACAGTAATACATCATAAAGGTTGAATTGGGCTTTAAAGGCATAATCCATCCAACAATAATGTTTCAGTGTTAGATGGATGACACACACCAGCAGCTCCTTTGGCAAAAACTGATGGCTTTTGAGCTGGGTCATGTCATTTCCAATGACAAATGCAGCAGATAAACCCCACCTCTTGGATTCTCCATAGGAGTGAATGGAGAGCTTGTATTACATGTAGCCTAGAGGCACAATAATAGATAGAAGGGCAGGAACACAGATAGCAGATTTTATCCCTAGGAAAGCAGTCAATGTCTGCTTTATCACATTGGTTCAAAAGTGGCAAATTAACCCCTTGGCAGCAGGCTAGTTCTGTGTCTTTACTATGGAAGGACTGACGCTGCCTTTCCCACAGCTATCACAATACTTTTAACAGTCCCAGGCATACCAAGCCTTTAGGCATAGCAAACCCTGATGGTTTTTGCATAGCTATAAACACAAACTCCTCAGAGCACTTATGATGATGGTGTCTTCAGCAATGTTACACACATGTATTAAGACACAAAATCTCAAAAGACGAGGGAAACAACGACACAAAATTCCCGATGGGTCATCTTCTCTGGATTGGGACACTCCTTGTTTTCAGCATGCGGTAGTAGAGGTTTTCATCCCGAAATTCATATTCGTCTGTGATATGCTGGAGGACGCCTCCTTTCAGCAGTCTCTCTCCGTACTTTACTGCTTCTCCACGATCGGACGCCAGCCCCACCTCGACAAGCCAGCTCACCAAATCGGAGCCCCAGAAGATGATAGCAGAGTTCCTGGCACCACACCTGTGTGTCAAAGGAATGATTCACCCATATGCTCTGTAACTCTTGTGCCAGGGCTGTGATTGGCAGAAGGTAAAGAAAAATAAGAGGGAAAACAGGACAGCATGATATAGGTAGGTTAGATCAGTACAGGGTCATAGAACATTAGAAGGGGCAGCGGGAAAAGCATAAACTGAAAATACATTCACGGACAAGCGGGAGGAGCTGACTGGAGCAATCTAAAATTTGGAATGCAGAACATAAATTGATAAATTGAGGTGTGAAAAATGCAATGCTGAGAAGTATAATGATGACATGATATAATGCCAATATAAAGTTTAGAAAATGTTTTTTGTCTGAAAATGTTTTTTTAAATTATTTCCATGGAATATCATGCCATCCCATTCTCCCAATTGTCAGGTAAACCTATAAAATGTCAGTTTGCTTCTGTTCATGGCCACTTCTCACCATGTCATTAGTACATCTGAACCAAGGAATAAAAAAGTTCCATGATGCAGTGGGGGCTTTCTCTGTTCTGTTCCTACACCTCTGCAGTTTGAAGGACAATGTAGTTCTGGAGTGAACACAGATGTATAGACCGGAAGGGTTTCTGATACCTGCAAATTTCTAACTAGCACATAACTAATTCCACTGCAAGGAAAGAAGTACAGTTATGTAAGAACTCCTCATTGTATAGCATTAAAGCAGGCCCTTTACCCCCTTTCACTAAAAATCACATAAGCGTGCAGCTTTGCATGCTGATATGAAATCATCTTAAACAAGTTTGTTTAATGAATGTTTCCTTTGCTTACAAATAGAGTTAATCTACTTCCTGGTCTAGTTTGACACAAATGATGTAATGTGCCAAAGCGTTGCATCCTGGGAAGATTACATCAGCAGAGCATTGCTGGGAAATCTCAGGAGATCTCAGGGAAAGGCATTTTCCTTCCCTGAGATGATGGGCATGGTCACATGTCCTAGTCACATGTGCCAGAGGTCCAGGAAGTAAAGGGAGATCTAGTAACCTGCCCTTAGTAAACAGGGCCACTGTCAAAAGACTGGGGAAGAAAATAGAAATAAGGTATTCAAGAATACAAAGCCTGAAGTTATCTAGAAGTATGTGTTTGTAGATTGTCATTACTAAACATTTCTTAAGGTGTGTTTGTTTTTTTAATGATGGGTAATGTTCCTCTACGTTTTTAAGATACACCAGCATTTCCTGGGTTTGAAGATACACCATATAGTAGTGGTGCACCGAAATGGAAATTTCAAAACCGAAAACAAAAAAAAATTGTCAGGCCAAAACCAATTTTTTTTTTTCCCAATTTGTTTAAATATTTTATTTTTATTTATTTTTTTATAAACTTTTAAATAATTTAATTTATTAATTCATTAAACATTTTTATAATTTACTTTTAGTAAAAGGAACTGTCAAAGAAGAACTCCAGGAAATGTATTTCATTAATCCTTGCAGTGGTGCTACCCCTACATTACAAGTGTTAATTGCTTGTTTGTGTCTAGGTAAAAAAACAAAGCTATACTCCCGTGAAGCACTGAGCCAGCTTCTTCTTAGACAGGTCCTTCCAACGTCTCTCCCCCTCCTCTGCAGCAATCTAAGGTACCGTAAATCATCAATGTCTACACACAGTGTATAGACACGAGGACGCCGAGGAAGATTACTGCAGGGAGGGTGAGACAGGCTGGAGGGAGCGCTGGAACAGCCGGCCCGCCCAGGGGTTTGGGTGACTATATATCTTTGTTATTTTTGGCTGCCAGGGTTAAGTGCTCGTTTGTGTCTAGGTGCTAAAAAAATTATAATTAAAAAAAATGATTTAACATATAGAGTACCAAGACATTTTGATTGTAAACTACAAATCTTGTAGCAAAAGTTTGGGGAAGACCCCTTTCTGTTCCAGCATTACTATCACCATGGAGATGGACTTTAAATATAATGCAAATGAAAATGGTTACAACCAGGAAAGTACAGAACAAACAGAAATGAAGGAAGCAAGGAAGAAATGGCAAGAATAGTGATGGGAACGGGACAGATGAGCAACATGCGTTGCCAAACCTTAGAAAGTAAAATATTTTGTTCACATTAGACATTATTACTGTTTGGTATATAAACACTGAATACATATGAAGGGTGAACCTAGAAGCACAGAAATAAGAGCTACCACTGCCCACGTTCGTTCTAAAAGCATATGATCAGACCTTTATTCTGATCCTGGATTTTCTTCCTAGTTAATCACTGACCTGAAATGATATGCCGTAAGGCAGTCAAGACCTATCTCACCTCATTGGCTGCATGCTTGTTTCAGGGTTCCGATTCACTAGGTAGTGAAGCCAGGATCAAGGCAACAATCCTGAAATTTGCACTTTTACAAACAAGGTCAGCGTGGCAACTCCCATTTTTCTATCACACATTCCATTTAAAATTGCCAGTCATCAGAACCAGTTTTCAGGTGGTGGGGGTCCTCTCCGCACACCTTACAGCAGTCCTGGCCAAATAAGAACGGTGGTGCTCGCTTCATCAGAACCAGTCATCAGTGGGATTCTTCAACATTCTGCCAGATCAATTATGCTTTATTTTACAGGGAATTAAACACATCACATGACACAGTAGGACATTGACTGGTGTTAGTAATATTTTAGATGACAGGCTATAAACTTTTTTGGCTCTCCAGCTCGCTGACAGTTGAAATACCTTCTCTCCTTGACGATATTCCTAACACACAGGTCTTTGTGGTATTGTACAAACTGGTGGCACGTCATGCGGATTTCTTCTGGCAGCCGGGTCTCCTCCGGAGCCGCATTGGGTTCTCTGCCATTCCACAGGAATTCAAGTCTAACGTGCAAATAAGACAGTTCACAGAACAGCCAGACGTACCCAGGACTCAATGAACGGGTTTATTAAAGATCATATTTTGTTTACAGAAAGATTCAGTTAGAGAACAGACCCCAAGGGTGATGAGGTGAATAGACATATAGAGTGACGTACACTATATGACTGGTAAGCAGAATAGAAGATCGACTGCTGTGTGTGTTCTATTCATGAGGATCCAGAAACTAAGGTAAAAGGTAATCAGATAAGAAATACAGGGAACCAAGAATCCCTGTGTTAATATTTAGCTAAATATGTTTAAATAAGTCTGACAATAATTATCTTTAAAATCTTCATAGCAGGCACCATCAACTTAATTGTTTTCAGATCTTCATCTAAGATGAAGGTGGGCAAAGGCCTGTGGCTGTGAGAATCCTGCAATGCCTTATGGGATTTGAAGTTCTGGAGGGGGTCTTGGGGTTGAATCCTAGCCACAACCAGACCTCAACTTTGCTCTGACTTCAAACTTTGGCATACCACCTCACTATCCAATGGCAAACCTCTATTTAAGCCAACATAGCATCCTATTGGATAGTATGATGGTATAAGGTATGATGGGGAGAAGAGGGTGTCCATTTGTTTTAAAGAAAATTGGTTAGCTTACATTTATAGAAGTGTTCAGAAGAGTAACACGTGTGTGTATTTGTTTTTTTTTGGAATGAGAAAATATAAAAGGGAACCTGTCGCAAACAAAAAACTTGTGTGAAAGGGTTCTGATGGAAGCAGCTATTCCCTGACTTGTATTAGTTCTGGGGCTGTAAGGCTGAACCTATTTAACTTTATTCAGGGTAAGTCAATGGCTTGGAGCAAATGTCTTGGAGAATGGCTGCTTCCATCAGAACTTTTTTTTACACGGGACATTTTCTCTTTCCCCCATATGTTATTTATTGTGACCCATTTTCGCTTGAAAAGTGCATTTAAAAGCCTTTCCCCCCCCCCTCTTCATAAAAATGCTGCTTTCTGCCCTCCTAATGCAGTAACCTATTATGCTATAGTTTAAATAACAGGGACCCTCCTCTGTAGAGCTTTACTGCACAGGAAGAGAGGGGTGTTCTATTAGTGAGCACTGACTACTGAGTGCACTAGGTCCAACTATGGTGCCTCTTGGTTGTTGGACCGCACAGATATATATAGGCTCCCTGCACAACTGATGTAGCAGGAATAGGGAGGCAGAGCAATGGAAATGGAGGTCATTAGTTCAAGATCTACCTGATGAAGTATCTATTTTTGTGACTTCATTTGGGTTGTCATGGACAATAGCACAATAAATGGCATGGTAAACTTCAATTATTTCTAAAAAGTAACAATCTAAAAATGAAAGTTGTGTTTGCTGTGATGTCCTACATTACATCTCTCTAAATATTCATTTTTCTAATGATTATGATGAAATCAACAGGACCACAGGCTGGAACTAATGCAGTGCCTGTAATTCCAACATTGTGTACAGCTCCATAAAATATAGCAAGCCTTACCTTTTCTTGCATGGAAGAATAATCAGGTGTTTGTCCAATCCAAAAATGGCAAATGACAGAAAACCCTAAAAAGATCAATCAACAAGCAAAGTTTAAAAATATTACAGGCAGTCCCCATGTTACAAACATCCGACTTACATATGACTCCTAACTACAAACGGAGGCTATTACTGTACAGCAGGGGGTCCCAGGCTGCAGCCAAGTGTAATGCGCAACATTTCAGTCGTTGTAATGCTACCGCACTTGTGCCGACGAGGAGTGCCCGCCTTTTTGGGTCTGGTTTGTAGTACTGTACGTACATTACAGGAAGTTGGCTCCTGTTAGACGTGCAGACGAGTGGTGCCCGCCTCTTCTTCTGGGTCACGGTGAGGTTTTTACTGCTCTCTGTATGAGAAATATTTAATCTCACTTCTTGTCCTTGAGACAACAGGAAGTGAGAGGAAAATCTACCCCTGGGAAGGGAAATTCACTCCTGTAGGAGTAATCATGGAAAAAAGGTGTCTCCACTGAAGCTTTATCACCAATCCTTGTTTCCACGACAACCCAAAACATTTTTAAATCCAATTGTCATAGGGACAGAAAGTGAGGCGACATCTTCTGAATAGGGGCAAACACAGCAAAACAAATGTTACAGGGGGTTCACTCTTACCTATGCTATCCAAAACTAAAAAATGTTTTTGGACTGGAGTTGCACTTACATTTTTTTTACCTGTTCCAACTTAAACACAAATTCAACTTCAGAACAAATCTACAGTCCCTATCTTGTTCGTAACCCGGGGACTGCCTGTAAATGCAGAAAATTTATGTGGTGTTTGGACACCCTACAATCACCCCCTCCAAAGCCAGAAATAAGATACAATTTGCCCCTGCAGCAACCTGCATCCTCTATACTTGTCTGGTACACATGTCTGTGATGTCTAGGCAATGTAGGGGAGCTGAATGAAACTGCAGGAAATGGATAAGAGAAAGGGCAGCATAAGAACTGTACTGGAGGTCCATGGACACACACAGCCCTGTGGCAGGCCACGCCCCTTCCCTCTTTGATTGATGGCATCAGTATCCTCCCTTAGCAACCAGGAAGTTCAGGGAGAAAAAAAGTGTTGGGCCGTTTTTACTCTAATGCAGACAATGCATTAAGGTAAAAAACGCCCAGACCTTAATACTACTTTAAAAGGAGAACTATGGGGTTAAGTCTTTTCCCCATAGTTCTCCTTAGGGTAACGGGAGGACATAAACTAGCGTCCTCCCGTCACCCTAGGCTCAGTATACTGCGAGCTGTAGCTCGCGGTATACTGAGACGCCGCAGTATACCGCAAGCTGCTGCTCGCGGTATGCTGAGACGCCGCAGCTGAAGCGGATTCCGACAATTGTGCCGGGATCCGTCCAGCTGCGTGATCTAGAGGCAGAGCCAGCTGTACCCGCCCCCTCCCCGTCCGATCCACCAGTCAGCGCTGGCGGATCGGAGCGGGGAATCCAGTCCCTCCCCTGTCACGGCAGAGAGCCGTGACAGGATCGAGAAGTGAGCGAACGCCGGTATGTGTTCACTCACCTCCCGATCTACTGAGCCGACCTGTGACAGTCTCATTGTCACAGGTCGGCTAGAACTATGAGGCGAGTGAAAAGCACTCACCTCATAGTTCTCCTTTAACTGTACACTTGTATATAGAAAGCCCGATATATCACAAATTCTCATTCTGAAGTTCCTCCCAGCCAACAATCACATTTACACTTTGGAAGTTTGAAACAGACTGGTGATACATCAAGTGGAGAGAGCAGAAGTTACACAGAACCGGCTTTAGGAAGCCGACCCACTCCACATGTAAGGGACTCAGAATTCTACACAGAATTCTGATCATTTGTATAGCTCAAATAACTAACATTAGCTGTTAACATTTCTTTATCAAGCATGTTCGCAGAACAAATTCTGGCAAAACCTGTCAGCCAAGGCAATGCTTTTTCAAAAATGCAGCTTGTGGCATTTTCCAGCTACATTAATATGATGCAGTGTTTAGTTCAGGGAACAATCCACACAGGTATTTACTGTAAAATATTTCAGCTATGAAAAGCTTTAAAGTGACCCCGGCCAAAGCCTGTGATTTACTTTGGAAACAAATGATTACTTACTTGGCCAAAATTAAACACGGCACAAAAGAACTGAAGCTCAACATACAGCCTTCCTGGCTCCAGATTAAACAGCCACCAGAAGCAGCTGGATACATTCTGTAGAAGAGAAAATGTTGGGAATAAAAAATATCACATGAAAACTACTTACTGAAAAGTTTTCTCGGCAGGTAAAAGAGGCATAAACATGCTGACTAGTCCAGGCATGATTCGGGTGCATCATACTCCCTTCCAGCAACACTTATACAGTCTGTTTATTGCAATTTACTTTAGCCTCCATGTACTACGTATGCTACCAGAATGTAAGGAAAGTCCTTAACGTGAACTTAACCTTGATTAAAACAAAAGTAGAGATGTTCAGACACCTTGTGGTGTCTTCAGATTAAATTACAGGGTCCCTGTGAAGCCCCCCGTGGATCCTAGGCACAGGCTGTACACTTCCTCAGCATGTATCTAAGCCAATATTAAACACCCTTTCGCTGCCAAGCCCTCCAGAACTTAGCCCATACAAGCAGGGGAGAGCAGCGGGGATCCATGGAGACGCAGATCCCTGCCTGGAGTGGTTGACATTAATGATGGCTATTAATTTAAAGGGGAACAGTTCTGATATAAGTTCATGGTCGCTAAAGCAACCATGAGCTTATAGCAGAACGGTAAATGCCACCGATGTAAGGCATACTGACCTGGCGGTTTGGGAACAGTTTCGTTCCGCCGTATGCCTTACGTCAGTGGTATGGAAAGGGTTAAACGCCATCGTTTCATTCACTTACTGCCAAAATTAGGATTGGTGCCTAGACAGTTGAATACAAGAAAAGGGGCTCGTCTCCAGAAAGGAACCAGCTCAGTCTGAATGAGAAGGGGAGTTGAGACCTTGGGTACAGCTTGGGCATAGGGTCCACAAGGACAAAGGGATCAAACTGAAGACTGCCACAAGGTGCCTACACTTTAGCATTATTTTCCTAATAAAAACTTTAGCACTTTCTCATAGGGTTGAAGCATGCCTGCCCACTCCTGCTTCACATGCATTCCTATTAGCTGGTGAGGTAGGCCATCAGAGTAATGGGCAAATAGTAGGAATGCACCAATACCATTTTTTCCAGACCGAGTAAAAGCACTGATACTTTACCTCATGTACTCGCCAATACCAATTACCAATATTGACTAATGATTTCAGGACAGTGGTAGAGTGCCAGGGCCCAGTTGAAGCTGCAAACGCTGTGACCCTGGTAGGTCTGCCACTGACTCAAAGCAGTAGAGGAACTACAAATCTTAGCAATACTTTATACAACAATGCAGAATACCACCAAATGCAGGACTACAAATCTCAGTGATACATTATACAGCAATGCAAAATACCATCAGCTAGAAAGGACTACAAATACCAGCGATATATTATATAGCAATGCTGAATGGTAACTGGCTATAGGGGACTACAAATCCCAGCAATGCATTATACATCAATGCATAATAATATGAAGCTACATACTCTGTGCTACTCCAGGGTGCCAGCCCTGGAGATTTCTCCAACGGAGGATCCCAGGTGGGCTCTGTGGGGTCTTAGAGGGCTGTGCGGACTCTCAGGTGGGCTGTGCATGGTCTATGGTGGGCTGCACGGACTCCCAGGTGGGCTGTGCAGGGTCCATGGTGGGCTGTGCAGAGTCCATAGTGGGCTGTGCAGACTCTCAGATGGCTATGCAGGGTCTATGGTGGGCTGTGTGGGGTTAATGGTGGCTGTGCTGTTTTGTGTGGCGATGTGTGGGGTTAATGGTGGCAGTGCTGCTTTGTGCGTCATTGTGTGGGGTTAATGGTGGCTGTGCTGCACTGTGTCGGGTTAATGGTGGCTGCGCTGCTCTGTGATTGGCTGGGCTGTGTGGCCTCACCCGGTGTCCCGGTCAGTCTCAGCAGGCATTGGCAGTTTGGAGGAGGAGGAGAATTTGGCTGCCATTGTATACAAGCGCCACCGTTCACAGGAAAATGCCCAGTATCAGCACCGATACCAATACTGGTATGGGTATTGGTGCATCCCTATCAAATAGGAACGTTTGGAAAAGTAGCTTAACAGTTCTGAGTTCTAACAATACCCAGACGTGTCAGCTTTGCCCAATCAGAGGAGCCTGATATTTGAGTGAAGCAGAAACTACTAAAAGCTGCTGTGGAAATGCACAGGTACCTCTGGGTGCTTGAACTTCATACCTGTCAAACGTTCAGTATTATTAAATTAACATAGTCTTTTTAAAATCAGTTTTTAGATCAGGTCAGGTCCACTTTAACAGTTCATACCAAGGACCAAGGTATTTTTAATGCTGCCCACACCACATAAAAAATAATTCCTAACTAGTGCCCATTCTTCTACAATGGAGATCAGAGTTGTGGTGCAACGTGGTAGACAAACATGTGAAAAGTGCCTTATAGAGGGCAGTGAAAGCCATCATCAGAACATAGGAAACATTCGTTTTAAATGCATTGTGACTAAACGAATAGCTAAGCTGAAGGAACTTCTTCCTCCTTTAAGATTTTGAAGCTGGAAACCTCCTTCGTTTCAACACATATAGGCTTTGGAATATACCTCATATCAACTTATGACGGCACCATAAAGCTACCGATCCCAGAAAAGTACCAATACAATCAACTTACAGCAAACAGGCCAACAATGAGAAGCAAGCAGAGTAACACATGTCTGGCAATCTGTAAGTCTCCGCTGTGCAGGTGTTGTTGCTCTTCCTGGGACAGGGGACATCTCTGGGTGTTGCAGCGACTCAGACATTCATGTGCTTGTAGAAGGAAAGGGCAGAATTACACCAAACAGCGTACAAATTCAGGAATTATGAACAGCACGCATGGAGAAAATGTGCCCTCTGTCACAGCAGACATAATAGCTAGCTTGTGCTGGCAACCTGGGGCTTGTAATTCCTTCACTGATAGAAAGACACACCATGTCCAAAACTAAGTAAAAGGAAAGAGCGGAGGGGGGCGGGGCGGTTCAGGTTCAAAAATTCAAAAGTGACGCTAAACTTAAAAAAGTCAATAAGTATAAAGATATCTGCAACAGTTATCAAGGCCCCGGCTGTGCCAAAGTGCCAGGCGGTTCTGATAAGGCAAACTGAAGCCTTGAACAAGTAGGCTGTTTACTTCGTCATTTTCAGGTTTTGACCGGAGTGTATCTTTAAGAAGGCTAATCCACTACGCTATAAAAAAAAAGCCCCAGACAGGCAAGCTACATCCTTTGTATGATTTCCAGACATAACTTTCAACTTTGGCTAGGAGAAACGTTTAATTAAATTTAGAGATACTAGTAACAGTGTCAATACTAGTATCGGTGCCGATACCGAGTATTTGGGCGAGTACTCGTACTCGCCTAAATGTTCCGATACTGGAACTTCCGGACAAAGAGAGATCTCCCTCTGACCAGCAGTGCTAAGGAGCATGGAGCCAGCTTTCTAGTCAATCAGGAAGCCGGTTCATTACGTGCCGCCCGGCTTCCTAATTGGTTAGGAAGCCAGGCTGCCTAGCAACAAGTGAAGCTGGCTTCTGAGCCAATCAGGAAGCCTGGCAGCACGTAATGACCCACCTCCCTGGTTGGTCAGGCAGCCAGGCTGCCTAAGAACAAGTGAAACTGGCTTCCTAGGAGGTAGGTCATGACATGCCGCCCGGCTTCCGGTGTTGGTAGGCTTCCTGATTGGCTTCACTTGTTGGTAGGCAGCCTGGCTACCTAACTAATCAGGGAGCCAGGCGGTATGACATGACTCTCCTTCCGGCTTCCTGATTGGTCAGGAAGCAAGGCAGCCTTGGCAAGTGAAGCCGGTATTCTTTCGATAGACTTCCTGATAATCAGGGCACATGCAATGGTATCGTTACTAACGAGGACCAAAAGTTGGTCCTCGTTAGTTTAAGTATTTTGTTACAAACAAAAACTTTTACCTAAACTGTTGTTTCTCATTTATCTCCACTGTTACTCCTCATGGGGAGTGGCCCAATTGGCTGGAATGCTGTATAAATGTGTACAACCTTGGGCAGCCGCCATATCAATTTGAAGGTGGGAGTTAAAAAACACAGATCAACCTCCTATTTGTACTACCCCTTTGCAGCTCATATAAACAAGGTCTTAGAATGCACCAGGTTTTCATATTTCCTAGCAAATCAATGATGTTTTTATTAAGTATAATGAGATGAAGCAGTGTAGAAACAGATCTTTGCTGGGGTTTTATAGCTACAGTGTAAACCGGACAGTCTGCAAACTGTACCTTCCTCTATGCTGGGAGCCTCATTTATAGTCAGCACATTTGAAGAGTCCACAGGCTGGCACACACTTCCGTTCTCCTGACCACAGGCACAGATCTCTGTACAGATAAGACAGCACACAATGTTATTACTGCACTTCAGCCAATGCAATAGAAAGACTTTCTGTATTCTTCACATACACCTCTGCAATACAATTTTCTCAGATATAAAGCTGTATTTTTAGTTTTCTGGAAACGCCAGTATTTTACAATGTTATAACACAGCCTCAAACAAGGTGCTGTGACAATCGGGCCTTCAGGTTTGTGCACAGTGCCATACGTTTCCATGGTGCAGGTGAACCGACCACCATCTCCATGGAAATGCACGATGTTAATCCAGTGTGGGCAGTATACAGGACCACATCCAGCATTCAGCTGTACTGTGGTGAAGATTATAAGGTAGGACTCTGATGTGAAGTAGGGACTGAGGACTCTGATGGGGTCTTCTGAATGCCTTGTCATCCATACCAGACACCTATCTAGGAAAAGGGTCTGATATAGATGTTGGGGGAACCACACATCATTTTTTACATTTATGTTTTTCTATATATTTTTAAATGGTGTGCCTCAAGATTTTGCATACTTTAAAGGGTGCCATTACTGGGGAAAAAAGTTGAGAAACGCTGTTCTAGCACACTTCTCAGTGAACAGTTTCTAATGAGCATATCATTTCTACACATCACACAAGATACTAGAGTTAGCAATCCTGTAATACCCCTGTAAGCAAAAACACTGGCTTTGTGCAAGTTCCAGGGACTCTAGGGATAAGATCCTAAATGGAATTCCAAGCTCGGTCACCTCTGCTAAAAAAAAGTTAATCATCCTGCTGCTTTTACTCTACCCGGATGAGGGAACTGCTCTTGTAATTGTGCCAGGTAGGCAAAGTAAGAGATTCATTTGCAGAGATTTGTCACCGGAGTCTCCAAAATAAAACATACTAGTGGGAAGCTTAACTTGGCAGCAATTACTCAAAACGAAAAAAAAAAAAAATCCATTTAAGATGGACTGACAGCTAACATAAAAATAATCTGCATATCTGTGATATGAAAATGGTATGTCAAAATAATCGGCAGGTCCAGGCAAAAAAAACAAAAACCTAGGCTTTACCTGTAAAAGATGAGCTTGGTCCCACCCAGCCCCACCTGCTGAGCATCTCTAGAACCAAAGAACCAAACTTGACTTTTACATGAAAAGGTGGCATCTGCATAATATCCGGAGGCTTATATCTCTGGATCTAATGGTTTTGGCATTTTGTTTTTAGTAAAGGTAACCTCTACTCAGATTTGTCACAGGTTTACTTTACATCAAAAGTGAATTCAGGCTGCAGTTTTCCTTGTCTTATCTGTTCTGTCACCACGAAACCACACTGCAAAATGAAACTTCTGCAGCAGTAAAAGTCGGACCTAGTACTACTGGTTCATGCATGAAGATACAATGATACTCGCTCAAGAATTGCTCTATAGAAGGGACCCTACGGAGTCAGCCAAGTCCATATCCTGCTGCTATATTAGGAGGACTACTACAAAAAAAGGTCTGTAAAGCAGCTTTTAAACACTTTAAAAATGCAAAATCGATGGGGTACCATGCGCTCGGTTTGAACCCTACCAGACACCATCTGCATGGAGCTTGTGTGGATCTCCTTTGGGTACTCCGATTTCCTTACACTCTTGAAAAACGTACTGGTAGGTTGAGTAGCTTCCACCCAAATGTGTGTTCATGTGTCTTCCTGCTTATGGGCAGGAAATTGATGTAAACAGTACAGTGTTCTCTAAATTGCAGCAGAATATAGCAGACTTACATAAAACATGAAAATTAGTTTTTGCCTATGTCAATGAACATGGTTTACAGCCATAAAGGCCTTGCTTACCTGATCTAGTAGTAGAGGGTGGACTTGATCCAACAGGGCTGTTCGGCTTAGATTCAATTGAAACATCTGCAGTTCTATTAATGCTGCTATGGGAGGACTGATTCAGCACCTGGTAGTTGCCATCTTGTCCACTTCGACTCATGCACATGAGACAAATGCCAGACAGCAGAATACTAACAGACAAGATCACTGCTGTGCTGATGATCTGTGTTGAAACAGTAAAAAAACAGAGAAAACTGAATGTCTATTCAGCTGAGTTCGTTGTGGGGATCACAACCTTTTCTTTTTATACCCTCACTATGATCTAAGCTTCTCCTAAAGAGATGGTACTGGAACAAGGAGGCATCGCCAGACATTACTAGAAGAGGATATAATATTATACCTCATCAAGTGGTGATTACAAGGAAAAAAATGGACCCCCTTTCCCATTTGTGACACCTCTCACATGGTTTATTGGTTTAACTGATTGAAGGGACACTATGACTTTACCTCAGACCCCCACAGATTCTCACCTTGCCAGAGAACACATCTTCCTCCATCTCATCTGGTACATTCCCATTTTCTAGCTGGTGTGGCACACAAAGGGGAGCAGTGACATCACACCCTCCCTCATGTGACAGTGCTTCAGCCAAGCGATTGGCTGCTTGACCCGAACACGGTCACATGGGAGGGGGTTACATGCTCCCCATACCTGGAAGCATTGGGTATTTAACGCTTGCTGCACTGGCACAAGGAGCTGCATGCAGGGACGCACTGGAAAGGTGAGTATCAGGAAGTCGGGGGCCTCTTTACACATACACTGCCTTCGATGTGCAAAGTGACTGCCTTTTAAAGAACTGCAATTACTTTTATTACTTTATTTTTATCATATAGTCTTACCTGAGACTTCCCATAAAAGAAAGCAGAGTCAATGTTGTCTAGATCACGTTCCCCTACACTCAGAAGTATGCACACAATTAAGACAGGAATGCTGGTGGGACAAAAAAAAAATTATTGTAAAAACAACAATAATACAATTCTAATAAAGCTACATAGTGGGTTATAAAACACGGGTTCCACAAATCTAGCCTTATGCATCCCTTTTCGGACCTGACTGACACCAAAGATCAATCTGGGATTCCTTTATTGCTATGTATGAGCAGCAGGCAGACTTGATCCCTGGGTTACTTATAGTCAGGGCTTGAAAAATCCACTCGTCTGTGACGAGAGGACGGTGGAGCCCGACAAGCACCTTCCCGGCCAGCCGTTGTAATTACAAGGCCGGCCCGGGAGCTTTACATTCAAGCGATCGCTTGTATCAGCAGCTGTCACTGCCGTTGCCGGTCCCTAAAAAATCATAATTTTTTTTTTTTTTTTAAAACACATTTTTTTAAGTCCCCGTCCACCACATACACACTCAGATATGCGTCGGGTGCGCCTACGTGCGAAAATGCCGATTGCGCCTATTGTGCCGCACATGTTACATATCGCCGCAAACGTCGGAGTGAGAGCAATAATTTTAGGGCCATCAATCACGGATAACACTAAACTGATGAGCAGTAAAAGCGTTTTAAGCGTCACCTATGGGCGTTTCTTGCGATTTTGCGGGCGCACGCAATTTTAAGGCTTGACATGTTTGGTGTCTATTTACCCGACGTGACCCCGACTTTTATGTTTTACCAAAAATATGGGTAATAATAAATGTTTTATAACATAGTGTAGGGAAACTTTCTTTTTTCTTTTACATTTACGGTACTTTTTTCATTATATACTAAACCCCCGAGGTGATTATATACCTCCAAAAGAAAGCTCTATCTGTCCCCAAAAAATGTTAACATAAATTGCAAGGCCGATAGTCCGGTCATGCTGACTGGTGAAATTTTTGACTGACTGGTGAGACACCCTAAAATATTTCAAGCCCTGCTTATAGTGCATGTCCACTTTTGCAGTCAAAATTGAGAAAACCCCACTAGAGGTTTGTTATGCATTTCTATTCACACAACATATTCAGCAATAATTAAAGAAAAAAAATATATATTTTCTACCTTTTAGATCTCTCTATTTTTCAGGGCTTTGCATGCTCCTCTCTCAATTTCAGTAGCAGGAAACTGTGTGTCTGTCCTAACAAAGACTTAGGACAGATGAAGTACCTCCTCATTAACACACAATGTCTTCAGGTCTTTAACCCTCTGTTAGGACAGACAGTCCTGATCATCTAGTTTAAAAAGTGATCTGCCAGCACAGTACAGACAGGGGTAATTGTTTAAAACAAAATTCCCCCCAACCTCCCAGACAGTGAGAACTAAGCAGGATCTTTTAGTCCTGGGATTAGTGGAAAGAGCATCTAAAAAAAAAAAAAAGCTGCAACTTTTAATTTCTATTTCTGTTAAGTTAGAAGTAGGTGTTATCCCAATTTGGCTGCAAAAGTGGAAATACACTTTAGGTCACTACAGCAGAGTCATAACATGTCCATTGTGGGTAGGATACCTCTTAAATTTTCATCACACACACCCTGTCCAACATGAGCTACATTCCTAATAGATACTTACCCCCAACCAGCTAAAGCTATTACCACCACGGGAATATTCCCAACTTCTCTCTTCTTTAATAGAAATAAGGATAATGAAATTAGACCTGGAAATAAAATCAATTGCCAACAGTTATTTATGATTTATAATCCTTTCAGTTTTTAAAATCAATGACAAACACATAACTATAAGAGCAAAGCAGACTCAACTGAGCCCTACTACTTCTTAGACATGAAACCCTAAAGTTTCCTTCTAAAAGGATGGCAATTACAAAAATATTGTATTCTGGTAAACCTGTATGATTAAGGCCTTATTCACACTGGCGTACAATATGCTCCGTATTGATGCACGAATCATTTTATCCCATATGCAAATAAATGGCTCCATACACGTAGCTGCGTATGGAGCCGTATATTTGCATAAAGATGCGCAAAAAAAAAAAAAGGACCCGAGATGCGTCTGGGGTCCGTATTTTTGCGTATTGTACGTGCATATACGCACATATGCGTGTACAGTACATGAAAATTTCTATTAAGAATGATGCATTCTGGGATTGCATACAGTGCAGACATATACACACGTACAAATACGCGTATATACACAATATACAATTTTGCTCTTGCATTGTGTGTGTGAATGAGGCCTAATAATGTAATAATAATAACAAATATTCAGCATATCCATAATATCAATTTACTTCAAAAAGGTAAACATGCCTTTGGTTACATTTTTCACTAAATGTATATGCAGACCAGGCGGTCTAGAAAAAGTAACAGTAACAACAGTAAGTAAGTTCGGGGCAAACTTTAATACTGCCTGTGATACTAACGGGTTTCTTTCTTTCTTTATTTTTTTTTTAAGAAAAACATTTAAACCATTTGATTCAAATGTGACAGTTGTAAGCACCCCTAACAGTGTTATAGTTAGTTCCAGCCCCTATCACTTTTGTGAGATAGATAGATAGATAGATAGATAGATAGATAGATAGATAGATAGATAGATAGATAGATAGATAGATAGATAGATGCTAATGGTAATAAAATAATCATACTGAATACTGTTACCAGAACACAATATCTTTTCACAGGGGCGGACATGAGATGGGACTTTGTGTAACTGTGTGAATTTAATAAAAAAGAATTTTCACATGAAGTCCAGCCGGATGTTTTATTGTTTTGGCAGCAATATTTTTTTTGTTAAAAAAGGTGCAGGCACTTATCAACTAATGTGAACTACAAATTGATGCAGCACACATCTACCAGAGTACTAAGAAAAGAAAATACCTGTCCACAAGTATGTACTGTAGAGGGCGCTGTATAAGATAACAAACACTAGGATCTGCCCCACCACATTTCCCTCTCTTATTATGAAGTTCCACAACACCATTCCAACACAGACAATCAGCTGAAGAAAGAAGAAATACAAAATTAAAAATCATACAGAATTGTTGTATTAAAGTGAAATGTAGACAGAGCTATGTCACAGTATCAAAAAGGGGTACAGCTGTAAGATTACCCGTCATGCTAACTATCTGCATGTCCTAAAACCACCAGAAAAAAATATAATTTTGTGTCATGCACAAGAGTCATATGATCTAAAAAAAAATATTTTCCCTTTTATCAGGTTAATTCAAGATTTGGAACCCATGTGTCCTTTCTGTAATGTTTCCAGACCAAAGAATCTGGCCCCACTCAACATAATCTCATACAAATCATTAGGACGCACACCCAGTTCATTGTACTGTGAATGGATTAGCACACATAAATCTAATGCTTAGTTGGCGATTTCCGCCTCTTAAAAGCACATCTTGATTCTCAGTGTGAAAGTATTTGTAAAGCTTTCAGTCAGCACACAAGCCAATGTCACTTAGTGGGTTATTGTGTAGGACGCGATGTGTAAAATCATGAAAATCGCTCCATTTTTAAAGTTAATTTTCGCATAGTCACGTGACCGCAGTTCCCCCTAAATATTACCGGTTTGGTCTCTGGAACATATAGCTTACAAACTGATGACAGCTTTATTGATGCTATTTGGACTTTTGGAATTGTTTGCACAATACTAAGATTTGTTCATTGACATATTCACAGATACCTTACAAAGTAGATCATTCACATAGTTGGTATCATGAATTGATTTTCACCGATTCGTTTTTTTTATTTAGTTGCTATTGGTGGTAGCGCCACACTGTTTTCTGTCTTTAGTTTTGTTTGTGGTAACACACACACATTCTCAGGCAGCTGCACATTATTATTTGTAGATAGTTTTGAGCTCAGAAGTGTTTGATATTGACGCGTCACTTCTGGCAGTGATGACAGCACTATTCTGTAAAATTCTCTCCCATCGCACAATGTTTGACATGAAGGGGATTTCAAGCACAGATTCTGGGTTCCCACAATACCTGGGGAGGATGAGCCATTTATTTAGCGGCTCAATAGCTGGACTCCAGGAAAACCAGGTAATTTAGTTCTAAAGCAAAACATAACTTTTCATTTTTGCCTGGAGTGACACTTTAAGGTATATATTAATGACTGCTTTGCATGTAGGGCACCAGCCAGCACGGCACCGATTTAGCAAACAATGTGCATTACAGCTTGTAGACATTACGGAGATAAAGGTGTTTGACTAGCAAGGTTACATCAATACAGACACACAATCACACACACACACACACAGATTAAACTGGATGGACCCTTGTCTTTATTCAACCTTATCTACTATGTTACTATGTAAAATGAGGCTGCCAAGAGGCAAACATTTACGTGTCAGCTGTTGCCCTTTAAAAGACTGACCAAGGCTTTCGGCGGCAATGAAGGTATTGTATGAAAATAAAAGGAAAAAGACATGCACATAAGGGAATGTAAAATCTTACTATTCCCTTATTGGAAATGGAAGTAGCACTGTAGCAGAAATCTGTTTATAAACAGAAATGTAAAACAAATACAATGAATGATTTTAAAGTAATGGTCCTTCTTAAAAGAAGGCAGCACAACTTTCCTACCAGTGCCTTTATTAGCTAAAAAAAAAGCCCTCCTCCATGTGTCTCTGTTCCGAAGGAGTTGATGTCCCAAACTTCTGGCCTAAGCCCTGTCCACCTTCAATCTTCCATGTAAGAGTTGCACTAATGACCATTGAGCTCTAACTGGATAGTAGATGACAGCCAGACAAGGCTTAGCCTAGAAGGAAAGACATGCCTCTAATAAAGTGAAACTAAATCAGTGAGGTGCATGGAAGGGGGTTTGTATAATTGTATAAGCAAGCGCCTTATGGTACCAGTTTTTGGGAGTTTTTTAGTCTCACATGCATTACAATTGCTAATAAACCAGTTATGTATTCATTCAAAATAAAATTGAAAGAAATCCGATACAAGTACTTGAGTAGAGTCTTTTTACTAACTTCCTTTAATCCCCTATACACTAGGAGCAGGATGGCAGCATTGTAAAACAATCATCACCTACGGCATTGTACAGTTATCAGTCTAAGGCCTCATTCACACTGGGCGAGAATTATCCAGCAGGACTACAATCTTAATAATAATAATAATTCGTAAGCTAAATGTGAAATTGTAGTCTATCACGGGAGCGAGCTTGGAGCGGTGACTACTTTACAACACACACAGGGGCCATGGGGAACAAAAGTAGCCCCCCTCCAGAAGGAAGGACAGTGTCAGCACCAACTCAGAGATGATTTTAGGATCTACAGCTGAGTGATACACAAATAAGATACATTTCTGTTAATAGTTAAGGCACTTGAATGCATTTTTAAGATTTAACTGCTTAGTGTCACTTTAATGGCTCAGTGACAGTGCCCACATCGGTAAGCGGCAGTCCACCTGTGATCATATGTGATACGATTTTATGTGGTTTTGATTAGATCACTGGACACATCTATCCTGCATCCAGCAACAGTGATCCATTCCAAACCACATCACATCACATACGATTACATGCAGAGGGCTGCTTACAGAAGCAGCCGCGATCACTCGGTCATTGACTTGAACGGGTACAGCGGCTGCATCTAAAACAGGACATCTGATGTTCCTGCCGCAGTGATCCAAAACTATCCAGTGTGAATGAGAGGCCTAACCCAGGAAGAGAGAGCAGAGTGATGAACTCCTTTATTGTAAAAGCTTAAAGTGACATTAAAAGGCAAATTTTTTTTTTACCTCCCCCCATGTAAATGTTAGCACTTACCTTGAATGATGTCTCTTTTTCCGATCTTCCTCTTCTTTCCCCATGTTTTCATCTGTCCCTCCAGCGGTGTGACGTCATTCCGATCCAGCGCTGACTGCCCTGTCTCTCCGATCCAGCGGTGTCTGCAGGCGGGTGCACGCGTCCATAGACTTACCTTGCGTCTCTGCTCGTCTCCCGGCCGAGAATCGGAACTGCGCATGCACCCGCCCCAAGATCCTTTGCGGCCGTACAAGCAGTTCCTGATTCTCGGTGCGGGAACGAGCGGCGATAACGAGGTAAGTTTTAAATGATTTTTAGGGGTTTTTTTTTTTTTTTACACTTCTTGCCTATATCTACTGCATGCTAGCAGTAGATATAGGCAAAAACAACCAGAGGGTTTTCGGAACTGCGCATGCACCCGCCCCAAGATCCTTTGCGGCCGTACAAGCAGTTCCTGATTCTCGGTGCGGGAACGAGCGGCGATAACGAGGTAAGTTTTAAATGATTTTTAGGGGTTTTTTTTTTTTTTTTACACTTCTTGCCTATATCTACTGCATGCTAGCAGTAGATATAGGCAAAAACAACCAGAGGGTTTAGAACCCCTTTAAGGCCTGGTTCACACCTGGGCATTTTACAGTGCGTTCCTACGCGCTGTAAAAAGTTCAACATGTGAAAAACAATAATTGCCTATGGGCATGGTTCCCACCTGGGCGTTTTACAGCGCGTAGGAACACGCTGAAAAACGCCTTACGCCCAAAAAAGTACAGGAGCTTCTTTGGGGCGTATTTGCCGCGCATATCCATTAGGATACAGCCGGATAAAAACGTGCGGCACCAAACCCAGCCCAAACCCAACCCAGCCAGAAAGTCCATCGGCCAGTGTGTTGAAGCGTTGCCACTTTGCTTCTCCCTGGCCACAGAAGGCACTTGACACTTCAAGTGGGTCAAATACCTACTACCCATGCCGCACGCTGTTGTAGAAGAGAAGAACGACAGCGTGTAGTGGCTGAGCAGGATTCTAAGTGTGGAATACCTGCTATGGTCAGGGAGAAGCAAAACAGTAGCGTTTCAACACACTGGAAAATTAATTTTGCAGAAGATCAGCATTAATACAACTAACTGATACACAGGTGAATCTAAAAAGAAATATAAAAAGGCAAATTGTGTTTAACTTTAGATTAGGCTGTTACTGTATGATAAATATTACATGGTACATTACATTAATATCTACATTGTAGGGTTACACTATCAAAACGGGATATCTGAATTTCTATCCATAAGTTCCAAATTGAAAAAATAACAGCAAACAAAAAGGAAAAAAAAACAAAACAACTCACTTGAGCCAGAAGAAGATTTGCAGTCAACAAATGAGGAAGTTTTTTATATTTTTTGCTCAAAAGCAAAATAGCAAGCGACCAGACCTGCAAATAAATACATATATAAAATATCATTGTGATTAATGTGTATTGTTCCCTCCCTCATCCACCCCAGGTCCTCTGACGAAGTTCCTCTCCACCTTGGAGTTTCACTCATGTTTATACAAATGTATGAAACTCATATACTTCGACAAGAAAAATTGCACACATTATGGAATTTAAGGCAGCCCTTTCCCTTCTTCATATACAGGTTGGTACATTTTGAACAAGCGAGTGTTTTTTCCATTTTTATAAATGAGGATGGGGATAGCATCCAACTTATTACCCTCATGATAGATGCACTTTGAAGTAGAACCCCAGAAAAAAAACCCCTCTAAAATACACAGTAAAATGAATCCACATAAGGGGCAACTGCCCCCCGGGCCTCTCTGATGCCACCGCAAACGCCCCCTTGACCCCCGCTACCACCTGCACGCGCCCGTCGCGGCTCTGCGGAGGTCCACCAGGCCAAGGTAAGGTGACAACATTTTTAAAACAAAATCCGGGGATATTTTATCCCCGGGAGCATAAAACAAACTTTGTTTTTTTTTTTAAATATTCAACTGATCCCTGCATCCACCAAAAGTGCGGCCTCCCGTCTCCCACGCTGTTAGAAGCTGCATACGGCGTGTGCTGGTTACTACTTAAACTGGCACGCGCTGTGTGCAGCTTCTGAGAAGATACACTATTAGCGTAGCGGAAGCGATGGAAAATGCGCAGCCGGCTTCCTCGCTATGCTAATAGCGTATCTTCTCAGAAGCTGCACACAGAGCACGCCAGTTTAAGTAGTAACCAGCACGCTCTGTATGCAGCGTCTAACAGCGTGGGAGGCGGTGCTTATCGGTGGATCCAGGGATCAGATGAGCATTAAAAAATAAAAAATTGATGTAATGTTCCCGGGGGCGGTCTCCTGAATCCGGGGACTGTGCCCAGAAATCGGGGATGTAACAGAGTATGTAGCTTCATATTATTCTGCATTGCGGTGTAATGTATTGCTGGGATTTATAGCCCTCTATAGCTGACGCTGTTCTGCATTGCTCTATAATGGTATTGCTGGGAATTGTAGTTCTCTATAGTTGATGCTGTTCTGCATTGCTCTAGAATGGTATTGCTGGGAATTGTAGTTCTCTATAGCTGTTGGTATTCTGCATTGTTGTGTAATGTATATCTTGGAATTGTAGTTCTCTATAGCCGATGCCATTCTGCAATGCTGTACAATGTATTTCGGAGTTAGTGGCAGAACTACCAGGGTCGCAGCAGTCATGCACGCACACAGCCCTGACGAGGTGTTCCTCCACTATCAGTGTGCTTTACATTTCCTAAACCGATAAATACATTCACACTACTGTTACATTGATGGCAAAAGTGGGAGACAGGGGCGGGGAGAATGCGGGGAAGAGGCAGAGCGGGAGGGGGGCCAAGTTGCTGCACCATCGGCCTCTGGGTTGTACTTGCCCCCTGGGCTAAAAGTTGCCAGTCAGCCCCTGATCCACATACTTGAATTTCATCTGAAGTTTTGCAATTCAAGGTCAGTCAGTTCTGCGTTTCACATACCTCTACCATACTATGTAAGCACACAAGTGCTAGAACAATTTCCTATTTTTGCTGTACATCTTCTTATGTACCCCAACCTGCAATGAATCAGCAACACACTGCCAATTGACTGTCCAATGAACAAGCAGATGTAACTAAGGTACAAAGCTGAAAGAAGATAGTGGCCTGTGTGTCAAAGGAATATAAATCTGACGACAGGCTTTACAGAACAGAAAATTCTAAGACAAGTAAAACAGAACTCACTTGAAAAATGTCATCTGTACATTTAGACGTTTGTCTGGAGTTCCACTTTAAGTCAATGACTTGATAGAGAACTTTGTACTTTCTCTATTCACCTCACAAAACATTTAAAACACTTTGCAACGATCATTAGATAACAAAGTGATACGTTTTATAAATAACAGCACATTTAATTTAGCGGATATAAACTGAACATCAATGGTAAACTCACCAAAACAAACAAACTGACAATGCTGATATCGAAGCTGACATTTTGCAAAGACGACATCAAAGGTTTAGGATCCATTGATGGAATAGTCAGTAGCCAGGCTGAAACATACATAATTGGAGCAGATACAAAGGTGCTGATCACCATACCTGATGTGACCTAGAGAAGGAAAACAAACAACGCAGGGATCAGATTTTGGAATGTATGTCAACATTGTGTTGGAAAGTGACCGAACACTGCTCAGAAAAACAAACCTCAAACAAAATATTGTGCAATACCAAGAACAAAATGGAAAAAAAAAAAGGGGAAACAAACACTTATTTTGCTTAAGGGCAGGTATGAACCTGCCTGCAGTTCCAGTGCATTCCAGGTCAGACAAAATGAGACATGCAGTATTTTTCAGGTCTGGTCTGGAACGGACTGCGCCAGTATGAACAGAGCAGAGAAATAGCATAGGGATACATTCAGATGCATTTTGGGTCCGGAAACAATCTGGTCTGGAGATGATCTGGATGTGGTGTGAATGGGCTCTTAAAACAATAAAATAGCAACAGTCCCAGTAGTAGTGAGAGGTCAACCTGAAGGACATTCTTCCTTTTTTCAGCCTTACTAGTTGTGGAACTATAAGCTCTACCAGTTATAAAGAGGTCATGGAAACGTATAAAAGACTCCTTAAAACACAATTAAAAGGTGTTTAAAATTAATTAAAAAGGGAATTAAAGTCGTTTTATACACCTTTTATTATTGTCATTTTTTTGCAGGTTTCGTGCGTCTCCTTAGGTCCTTCTTTGTAAAACATGTTTACAGAGCTCAACAGCTGAAGCACCTATACCAATATTTTTACAGCAGCCTACATCTTGGGAGGTCACAGAAGCTTCTTTCCTTCCTCCTGGTCTGAGCGGCGCTCATGTAATGAGGTGTAAGCACTGCTCAGTCCTGAAGTAAGGCAAGGCCAAGTTGAGTTATCGTGTGCCCCCCAGTGCTGGATTGTGGAGGGTAAATTGATATATATTTATTAACAAATATTGGAGATCTGCTTCATGCAGTGGTTATAAAAAAACAATTACACTCGCTTTTACTTTTAAGCGAGTTAATTGCGACCATAACCAGAAAGCAGCCACATACAGCCCTGTAGAGCACCCACGAGTCTCACAAATAGGGATGCACTGCTATGAAATTTTCAAATGAAGTTCCTGAGTTGGACCTCCGGCCTGTCACCTCTTATACCATACCTCAACATTGGTCAGTGAGGCCACAATCACAGCAATGGATCAACAGCAAGACACAGGGGCAGCACGCCAGAGCTCTGACTTTAGAATTTAAAAGATGGTATTTACGAAATAGGCAGCCACCTCTGGGTTCCTGCTTTTCATGTATGGTGTCAAAAGTAACAGCTTTTCTTTTACTCTCTAAAGCCAATGACAAACTGCGTGCGAAGCCCCGCAGAGCGAATCAAAGCTGTCATGCACGGAGCTTCGCATGCAGTGTGTGAGCTGAGTGCAGCCAGATGATTGACTGCATCTTCAGCCAATCGGCTCACACGCAACAACTGGATGGAGTTCGTATCGTGACGTGCGGATTTATAAGCGCGAGCCGATTGGCTGAAGATGACATTTTTCATCTCGGCACGCTCCGCTGACGTGCCAGAGAGAAAATTTCATGACATACTGCACACGAAGTCAGCGCGCCACCACTGCGTGCTGCTTCGCGTGCAGTGTGTCACAGCCTTTATTAAGAAGTGTGTGTGTGTGTGTGTGTGTGTGTGTGTGTCATGCCCTCCTTAACAGTCAGGAAAAAAAAAAAAAAAAGGCACGCACATTATGATTCAGCTAACAAGTAATAATGTGGAATATCATTCTCAGAAACAAGGACTCTGGTATGCAAGCTCAGCAGTGAAACACCCTGAGAAGATTCTTAGTATAAATAATTCAATCTTTATCCATTACTTACAATCTCTACTTCCATGTTAAATTGGTTGGCAAATATCGCAACACCTGGTGCCACTGGGAAGACTCCATACAGAAATGCATAGTTAGATAAACTGGTGTGGTTAACCATAGAGTTACTCCGATCCAACAGCTCTACCATTTCCCTGCAGATAAGAGGCAGAACCAGCCTGAAGAAATAAGAAAACAAAGTAACTGACTGTATCTAGGCAGATCAATTTAAAGTGTATATTAACTATGCATGATGTAGGCAGCCATTTTGTTATTTAGGCAAAAAAAACAACAACTTGACAAATCTACTGAAAAATGGTCATGCTAGCATTAAAATGACACAAAGATAGATGAAGACTAAAATGATTTCCAAAAAAGAGAAAGCTTCTTAGAAACCGATTGGTATTGACAGTCTGTATAAAATGGTTTCTATAACTTTTTTTTACTGGTTTATGTTGTGCTTCACAACTGTCATATGATACCTTGACATTAAACACACATTTACTCTAAGTAGCCTAAATTCTGCCTCCCGTCAAGTCTTAGCTCTGCCTGACCTTCTGCACGTTATCTGAACACCGCTGCCTACTGTATGAATACCATAGCCACCGTCAAGGTCACCCATATTCAACCCTCAATGCACACCAGTGGGAATTTGTTTTAATCTTTACTTGCTATGTGAAAAAGGCA